ATTGGATGATACGGACGCTATCATTGATGTATATAGCGCAGATTCTAGGACTGCAGAAAAAGTGTTCTGAGGCAGTTTCGGTCGCACAAGAAGCGGTACAGATTTTGGAAAAGACATTGCCCGAAGGGCACTTCAACTCATCACCCTGTGCTTATTAGGCATGTAACAGTCTTTTTTACGTGTTTTTCAAAAAATAGTTTGTATTTTCGCGGCAACGAAGTAAAAATTTTCTGAAATCAGCAGTTTTGTAGAGCAAACATTTCTCTACAATATGGCATTTTGTAAGCAATTTTAAAGTTACTTGGTTTCTTTAAAATGCCATCTTGTAGAGAAATGTTTGCTCTACAAAACTGCTGATTTTAGAAAATTTTTCAGTTCGTTGCCGCGAAAATACAAACTATTTTTTGAAAAACACGTAAAAATACCTGTTGCATGCTTAGTGCTTACACAATCCCAAAGTTCAGTCAAATGGATATAGATGACTCTCCAATGACTAGACTTCAAGTCTATATGCCGTTGACTAGAGGCGTGTGCAGTTACAGCGTTGAGGAACGTTTTACCTTCAGACTCCCATCTACGTTGACAAAGTTTTTTGTGAAGAGATATAAGATTTTCACCATATCTTTACGTTTAGAAGCCCTTGCTAATCATCGTGGCTCAGTGTTCGGCGTTACCCTTACCGATCAGCCAAGTCAAAAACAATTTGAAACCAACTTATGGCTAAAATTACGCTCATTCAAATCTCAACAAGCTGTTTATGTTGAAAATGAATCATCTAAAATTGGTAAACGTCTGTTACCTAACGAACTTTACCAAAAATGGCAGAAATCATTTCATTACGAGTTAAAAGTACCAGTTGAAGAACGTTGTCGATATATACTTGAAAAATATTCTGATTTATTATTAGACGAACAAACTGCATTAGTTCGAGATAAAATTCAAAATAATATTGCTAAATATTATCCAACTAGTTTAGTTGAAAAATGGTTAGAATTATTAATCAATCAAAATGGTATGAACTTGTTGAATTATTGCTAGTTGAACATTATGATAAAGTTTATTTAAAACAAAAGAACGATATTAACTTCAAGGAAAAGCATGTAATTCGTATGTCTAAAATTGACTTAAATGAATTTAAAAATGTTGTTGAACAAATGAAACGAAAAGAAGAGGAATTAAATAAAAGGAAATATGATGACTGAAGTCGTTTTTCTAGGTGATTGCTATGTTAACCAGAGTCCTAACAGGTCGAATACGAATTTTGGGAGGGATGGAAAGTTTGCTGAGTAACTAAAGTGATTTTTTGATTTACTCATTTGTTTTCACTAAAATGTTTTTCTGATAACTCCTTGTTTTAAGTTAATCGAAGACATCAAAAGAAATTACTTACTCTCACCTTAAATTTTTAAAAAAATTCTGAGTCAAATTTTTTTTGAGTAATTTTATCCAAACGAGGAGGGGGGGATTTCTACCTCCTTCCATCTCTTAGTAAAAAAACCCTGTATTTGTGTACAAGCTCGTCGCTCTCGTATTATTCAAGATTCTTGACAAATGTAAACCTTGGTAGGAAAATGATAATTAATCTGATCTGTCTTAGTATAACATAAATGAAGAACGAACGATTCCATGGTTGTTTCTTCTGGTAAGTTTAACGGGGTTCCCAGGTCAAAAACAGCAACACATAGGAGTCATTGCATGAAAAAAACAGCTGCTTGACACAAAAGCAGACTCAATCGATGTTTCAGATTTTTCTCAAACCAATTTCAATTTGTAGAGCATAGTCAAAAACGTAGAAATCCAAATTTTTAGCCTTACTGAACCGCGAATTCTTGAGTTATGAATGGTTCTTTGGAGGTATCTCGACGAAAATTTTAGGTCTAAACAGTTAGAAAAAACAATTAAACACTATAATTTCATGAATATGAGTGATAGAAAGGAGATTTTTTTACCAGAGGTAGTTTATTACCGTAGCTATCCACTGTCATATTTAAAAGTCTTTCATCTCGGTTTTTCAGTCGGAAAACTCGATTTTCCCAAGAACTACACATATTCAACTTGCTTCGAATTTTTTGAGAGAGTTTTCATCTAGTTTGAAGCGAGAGTGATTCAGTCATATACATTCGATGAGGGGCTATCCAGAACACTCTTTAAAACCTTGATGATTTGAAAGAATCTCTGGAAACCGCAGACGTTTTCTGAACAAAATGAAGTATCATTCGACCTTTTGTCGGTTAGTGCTGAAAACGAAAAAATAGAAATGCAAAAAGGAGACTGGTAAAGCTAGGATTTTTTGGCTTCAAAATCTCAGCAACGATAACTTTTTTTCTAGCGTACGCGACAAAAGGTCTAGTTTCCGACTGAAAAACCGAGATGAAAGACTTTAAATATGACAGTGGATAGCTACGGTAATAAACCACCTCTGGTTAAAAGGCACTTCCCTGGCTCAGATAAGTCAAGCATGCAATGGTCAGTTTGTCAACTATAGTCATGAAAAGTTTCAGATCAATCAGTCAAGTTCATAATTTGAGTAAAAATGTACACAGAACATACAATTCTTCATCTTCCAAAATTATCCAACAAGTGAGTTTTTAGAACTCCTGTGAGTCCATTTTGATATGATAGCCTCTTCATGTACTGTAAAATACATACACATATTGATCGTGATACTGTAAAATTCGGTGGTAGAAATGAGCATAATTCGATTTTTTTCGTCTTTCGTATAATTTGCGTAGTTTTCTTGATAGAAGTTCTGAAATTAAAATAGAAAATACGTAGAGGGACATTTATTCTGCCGCACCCGTTATTCATAGTTCAATCTTGGTGAACAACTAATGCCTTTTCGTGTATCTCTATCATTGCAAAAACGTTCAAATAACAGATTTGAACGTTATAACAGCGGATGTCAGACCAACTGAACATTCCATGCATAACATCAATGTTAAATCATCGACAAATAAGAGACCACCACTAATGATCGAGATGACGGAAATTAAAACTGGTCCATAAAATATAATAAATGCCAATGTTGTATTATATAATGATAAAAAACTCAATAATATTCTTATATCTTTAACAATTTGACCATGTTTGATTGTAAACCGTTGATTCTTTCGCAAGTCTTTAAGATCGTCAAAAGTAAATGCAATAAAAACAAAGATCCTTTTTACCTTCCAGATTGACACATCAAACCACACTGACATCAATCTCATCGTCCTGCCGATTCGACAACCTGTTCTGAACATTGTGTACTATCTCGAGAAACTCTTCTTCATTAGGAAAAAGTGACGACAACACAACGTGATCGCGTTGTGTGTCAGATACAATTCAATCAAACTCAAGTTTATTCAACAAAATTAATAACGGGCTTCATCATTTATTCGAAAGGCGGCAATCATACTGGATCCTTGAACAGTAGTAATTGGTGTGTCACCGTATGATAAATTGAAACTTGAAAATACATCTTTTATTTCTTGCCAACTATTGATAGCTGTTTTAAAATCTTGATCGAAATGTTTACATCGTAAACGGCTATGTTTCAATTCATACGCATTATTAACATAAAACACAGTGAAATCCAAATACGATCTTTTAACATAATCATCACTCCATAGGTCGCACGTGGCTAGAAAATATATACGAAAAATACATCACAGAAGAGCACACCATTTTCTTTTCAACTAGAAAATCAAACGATCGATCAAAGCGAGTCAAATACCAAAGAAAAATGATTATTGTGAAATCGACAACTCATCTGATACAGCATGTTCTTTTATCGAATCTTGCAATAATTCTCGCGTTGTTTTGAGAAATAATTCTAATTTTAGTAATGCTTCTTCACGAATTGTTTACAAACGAAAAGAAAAGGCGAAACCAGCATGAGTGACTCCCACAGTGCTGCACTGCTTCCTTCTCGTAACAACAACAACATGAATTAATCTTTTCTCCTGTCCTGAACATGACTCTTTTCCTCTTGTCTCAAATTGGAAAAATTCAAGTGTTTTTCTATGTAATAAAAAGTGCCATGCTATTTGTTTATTGTAGCTAAAACAAGAATTACTCATTTCTCATGTCGTGAACTTCCTTTTTTCTTCTTTTAATTTGGAAAAAAACGATGTAAAGGGCACACACTATATATAATAAACGTTTTCAGCCATCAGTCGAACATACAGCAATGGAAGCCTACGCTGCTTTTGCATTCGTAGCGGTCTACTGGGTCGTTTTCTTTTTCTGCTATCTTTATACACGAATCTATCGGCAACGATTAAATATCACTCTCATATGGCTTGATCGCCACCATGACTCGGCGAGTGTCAGTGCACTAGCAAAGCTATGTCATCGACGTATCCAAACAATTACATCCATCAATGAATGCATGAAACATCTAAACTCATTGAAAGGCCTACACCAACCAGTCTGCTTAATTACTTCAGGCTCACTAGGGGTATCAGTCATTCCTCTAATTCATCATATGGATCAACTGGATTCTATTTTCGTCTTTTGTCTGGATAAAAGTAAATATGACTTCATGACGAAACGATACACGAAAATTCGTCACGTATTAAACAGCCATCGTGAAATGGCAATCCAATTACAAATGTATTTTCGAGCAGTGGAAAAGAAAGGCTCGATGATTAATTTGTTTGATATAGAAAAATTAAGAGAACTGCGGAAACACGATCAGTCTTCGACCTTTTCTCAGCTGAGCTACACGATCTTCGACGAAAACAAGCAGTTTTCCATGCATGATATCACTAAAGCAGATACGTTCTTTCTTTGGCTAAAACTATTATCCAATGTCTTGCAAAAAGTACATCATTCACGAGAAACGATGAAGGAAATGTTAGTCAAATGTCGTGATTATTACAAAGATAATGAAAAAGAACTGGAGAAAATCGATGAGTTCGAAGAAAAGTATAAAAAAGAGAAAGCCGTTTATTGGTACACAACACCTACCTTTGTCTCGAAACTAATCAACAAAGCACTGCGGACAGAAGACATGCATGCACTTTACATCTGTCGAGCTTACATTGCTGATCTTTCCGAGCAATTACATAAAGAATATGAAGAATATAAACAACTATTAATTGATTACAAACAACCTCTAGATCAATGGACAGTTTATCACGGCCGAAACATGTCTCAAGAAGAAATTGTTCTTCTCCGACAGAAAATAGGACAATTGATCTCTATGAACGGATTTTTATCCACTAGCAAACAAAAGGAAGTGGCCGATCTGTATGCAAAGGACGTGCTATTTATCATTGAAACCACATTCGATTTATCCTATGGATGCTTCGCTCATGTGGCACCAATGAGTGTATGGCCCGAAGAAGATGAAGTTCTATTTGATCTAGCATCTGTATTCAAAATCAAGGATGTGAAATACGATGAAACCGAACAGAAGTGGAATGTTTATTTAGTCACGTCGGACGAAGGAACACATGTCCTTCAAGCCCATATCGATTCGGTGAGACAAGAAGCAGATGAACTGAATATTGATTTGATTTTTGCTCGATTGCTGATTCAAATAGGTGAATATCAATTAGCGAATGATTATTTAACCAAATTAGCCTCTATTATTCCAGCGGAAGAAGACAATCGAGACTTAGCCTTGATCTACCACTATCATGGATCGAGTTTAGATCGCGCAGGGAACTATGCTCAAGCGATGGTCGAATACGAAAAGACTTTAGCAATGCAACAACGTCTATTCCCAGAAGGACATTCGGATCTTGGCGAGACCTTAGGTGGAATTGGTTTAGTTTATGATAACATGGGCAAATACGATCTTTCTATAGAGAAGCATCTTCAGGCTTTAGCTATGGGTGAGAAAACATTGCCCAAAGATCATGTTCATATTGCGGAAGCGTTAAATAACGTTGGTCTGTGCTATTTTAAGATGGGAAAATCCGACCTGGCGCTTGAATATGCAGTCCGAGCATTAGAAATGAGGCAAAGACAGTTTCCACATGATCATCCTGATTGCTACATGCTGAATAATATTGGATTAGCGTATCATTATTCTCATGAATATGAGAAAGCCCTCGTCAATTTTCAGCAATCATTAGAAATGAGACAACGTTGTTTACCGCCGGATCATGCTGATATTGCTGGTTCCTTCTGCAATCTAGCTGCCGCTCATCTAGCCCTAAAGCATTTCGATGAAGCAATCGATTATAGTCTGAAAGATTTGTTCATGAGTGAAAAGACACTACCTCCTGATCACTCGGAACTGGGTATTACTCATCATTATCTTGGTCAAATTTATCGGGCAAAGTATCCAGACGGTACTCTTGCACTACAACATTACGAAAAAGCCATTGAAATCTATATGAAAACTTTGCCACGGCATCATCCTTATATTGGATGATACGGACGCTATCATTGATGTATATAGCGCAGATTCTAGGACTGCAGAAAAAGTGTTCTGAGGCAGTTTCGGTCGCACAAGAAGCGGTACAGATTTTGGAAAAGACATTGCCCGAAGGACTTGAACTAAGAGGAGAATCATTGTACATTCTAGCGGACATTTACTATCGAATGGGAGAAAAAAAACAAGCCCTGAATTACGCGAATCAAGCTCGATTGATTCTATTGAAAATAACGCACATCGACAATGAAGATATTCAGAGGACCTTGTCTCTGATTGAAAGTCTGAGCAATGTTTAGTTCGTTTGTGGTTGACCGATAAATAAATTGGAATTAAAGAAAAAAAATATATGATTAAAAGGAAGTTATAACTTCAAACTATAACTCATCATACCAGACCGCCACTTCCACAGATTTCTAACCATCCGAGCTGCAAAGTACCCATCCAAATGCCGAAAATCACAGTAAAACAATCGCCATGAAACAATCCAATAAATCCACCCAAGCGTTCGGGAGTACTGAAAGCGATAAACTTTGTCTCTTTTAGAGTGGAATTACACTGGAAACAACGGAAAACAGAGAGCATTTTCTTTGTGCAGTCTTTTCTGAAAATGTCTGGATTCTCCACGGCTCCGTTCAAAAATTGACAACTTTCCTAGTTGCACAACTCAACAGTACCATCGTATTTAATACACTATAGAGCATGTTACGTGCCAGCTATTGAATCGATTACCGTGTGCGAAAGCGTGGACATTTGTCGCTTTTCATCGACTGACTAAGGGCCGATCCCTGTACACACTCTCTGTACAAACAGAAACTATTTTAAAAAGTTGTGTGGTGTATTGCAAATAATGGGACGCTGTTTTTGTGACCGAAGAAAAGAATGACATAACAATGAAGCAAGTCAGTTTTCCCCTTCTGGACATAACAATAGAGCGGAAAAGTTAATCATCAAACAGGCAAAACATGTTATTCAGCAAGGAGAGTTGCAAAACTGACCAAGCTTTGAGGACTTAGACGATTACGGAACATGCCCATTCTCTGAATATTGAGAATGATACACTAGCAGATCTATTTTTCTAACGAGTCCGAGCGTGCACATATACAGAAAGGTAATGTTACTTAAGTTCTCTGGAAGTAGTGATATATTAGGAATAAAAGGGTTATTGTAATGCGAAATAAAGAAAAAAATGTGAAAAATAAAATAACAGAAAAAAGAGATAAGAATGGATGTTCGTAACGGCTTCTTCAAGCAGTTTGATGCGTGTTTCGGCGACGGCATTTCACCAAAGGACGTTCACCTCGATTCACATAACCGCATTCCCTTTCAAACACTTCGTCGTTCACATGAGTAACAGGAACTCTCACTTGCTGAATGTCTGAAGAAATGGACAGAATTTGACTTCAGTAAAGGCTATATAAATCCGCCTCACGATCTTCTCATTTAGTTTATACTAACAAACACGGCAAAAAACACTTTCACTATCTTTAGCTAAATAAAATGTGGATCTGCCTGGAAAAGACATAAGTACATACATCCATAATATCTGGAACTAGCATAAACGCGGGATTGTTGCCTTGGAGGTGCAAAACTAGCAGGCCAAAATGTTTCTACAATCCACTGTTGTAATTCTTCCGGTGTTCTCCCATTGTTCGTAGCCATTTCTTGCACTTTTTTCAAATGTCCTTCCACTGTAAAGTCTGCTTCAGATTTTGGATCATCTAACCATTGTTCCAATGTGAATTCATCAATGAAACTTTGACAGAGTCGAGAAATAAGATCATCGTGTCCTATTATTAATTTTTTAATATCAATACTCAATAGTATTGACATTGGTATTGGTATTGGTATTGGTACATGCCTAGTTGTCAGTAGTCAACGAGCTCTGTATCCTCAGGAATATGACAAAAAGAAGAGCGAGAGGAAACAGCCAGGCCATGAAAAGAGGACAGATGACAAAATAAGCAACAAAATAAAAAATAAGCGCTTCATATCTTTACTTTTAATAAAAGAGAGAGAGTATTTAAGATAACTGCTTGACTGCATAAAAAGAAACAGTTTGTTTCTGAACGGTCATGTGAAATTCAGTCTATAGTCCATATTTATAACAGACCATGAAAGAAAGCTTTTTATGTACATTAAGAAAATCAGGATGACACTTTATAGCTAGATTCAAGAAAGTGTCATTTCGGAAGCTAGACGACGACAAGGTTTTTTCGATGTATTCGTCGTTTAGAAAATGCTTTGACTATTCACACTATTGGCATTTTGGAGCAACCATGGCTGCAAACGTAAAGAGATGAGAAACTCGTCTTTTTGTCCATATTTCCCTTATTCCCTTGACTGTAAAGGAAAGGGTCTTATCGAGTTAAAATGCCTGTATGTATGTTTGTATGGTTGTATGTTTGTATGTTTGTTTGTATGTCCGCAGACTAGATACTAGCGACAGACAAACTAGTACAGCAAAAGTTGATTGGCTGATAATGATATGGAGTAGGTAGTCGACTATGGGGAATCAGAAAATGAGCATCAGCGACCTCTACGGTGATTCCTATTGGTCGAAAACATCATTTCCGCATTAATGAATGAAAATGAGAGTGAAGTTACACTCAAACAAGTCACAGATACAAGATCGAGCCGAAAGAATCGGTTGTAAACCACCGTTACAAGGAAGGTTTTCCAGAAACCGCCTCCAAAACCTGAGCAGATCAGCAAACTTTCAAACCATTCTTTCGACTCGATCTTGTATCTGTAACTTGTTTTGAGTGTATCCTGAAAATCTGAGTCAATTTGGACTAAAAATGGCCGAATTATAAAACTTTGAATCTACCACGGTCAAAGGCTAAAAAGCGA